AGCGCTAGCGCGAGTGCCGCAGCCAACTGCTGCCATCTGAGCGCCGCGCGAGCTCACTCACTTTCGCGCGTAGGCCACGCCCGCCGCCGCTGCCGCCAGCCTATCCGTGTCCCGAACCGTCTACAGACACGCCCCTCCATCGCCGTCAGCCAACTGGGGACATGTACCCGCCCCGGGACACGCCCCGAACTTCTCCCCTCCACGGGCAAGGACTCGGGTAGGGGTTGCCGAGGCAACAGCACTTCTCACCCGCGCCCTCCAGCCAGAGGGAGAGCAGCGCTGGCTCAGCTCCAGCCAGAGGCCCCCATCTCCCGCGGTGCACGCCTCATTCAGCGCCACTCGCATCTCCTCAGAGCCCCCTGCTCCTCCTCAAAGCCCTCGGTCCTGAGAGATCCTCACTCCTTAGAGCACCCCAACTCTTCCGCCAAGCCCTCCCCTCCTCCACAGAAACCCACACCTCTTACAGCTTCATCGGCAGCCCCCATTCATTTCCAGAAGCCCCAAGCCCCAGACCCCTACTCAGTCCCCCTAATACTCCCCACAGCCTCAGCCTCATCAGGTGGGCCACTGGGGCCCCTGGCTCTTCCTCTAGAACTTTCCACGCCCCCTACACCTGGCCAAGGGGCGCAGGTGTGCGTGGTTGATGGCAACAAGGTCAGAATGGAATAGTTTTCTCCACTGCAGAAATCAATTCCAGTCACCTTTCAAGGCCCAGTTGAAGAGTGACCTCACTTGTTTATTGTCACAGTTCTGGGCTTAGAAAGTGCTAGCACATGGTTACCGAATAAAGGAAGGATGTTTACTGAGAGCCTCCCTTGCAGTGCACCCCAAATCAGAGCGAATCCTCCATCTTTGTTTCTAGCCCTTAGGACACAGCATCAGAGGCCCTTAGTGCACAAGAAAAGGAACTGGGTGGTAGCTCAAGCCTCAGCATTTTGGGAGACCGAGGAGGGAGGATCACTTGAGCACAGGAGTTTGAGACCAGCTTGGGCAACATAGTGAGACCCCATGGTGGCACATGCCTGTGGTCCCAGCTACTTGAGAGGCTGAAGTGGGAGGATCACTTGTGCCCAGGAGTTTGAGGCTGCAGTGAGCCATGATTGCGCCACTGCATTCCAGCCTGGGTGACAGAAGGAAACCAGATTTAAAAAAAAAAAAAACAAAAAAGGAATGGACTGGACATAAATCTCTTCTCCAAAGTCACAGAATCTCCTGGAGCCTGTTTGCTTGAGGATAGACTCCAGATGTGGGCTCAGTAAAAGGTCCTCAGCCTGCTGACCGGGCCCCTCCCAGGGGAGGCCCATGTTCTCTCCATTGCTGCTGGAGAGCAAATTCAAACACCATCTGGTATGGCTGGATTGGAGAGTGTGGGGAGACTCCAAAGAGGACGGCAGGGAGTGAAAATGAATGACTTGACCGAGTGTCTGAACAATAGGGAATGCTCTCTAATGAAGGAAACCGACCCTTGTCAGGAAGTAATAGATTGCATGGGAGCCACGGAGACCAGAGCCTGTACAAAAGGTCACCTGCAAGCGCAGTACTGCCCAGGAGGCCTGAACAGTAGTAGCCTTCAGGCTGGGTGTGATGGCTCATGCCTGTGATCATAGCACTTTGGGAGTCTGAAGTGAGAGATTACTTGATCCCAGGAGTTTGAGACCAGTCTGGAGAATATAGCAAGACTCCATCTCTACAGAAATAACATAAAAAATTAGCTGATCTGGCTGGGTGCGGTTGCTCACGCCTGTAATCCCAGCACTTTGGAAGGCCGAAGGGGGCAGATTACGAGGTCAGTAGTTCAAGACCATCCTGGCCAACATGGTGAAACCCTGTCTCTACTAAAAAGACAAAAATTAGCCGGGCATGGTGGCACGTGCCTGTAATCCCAGCTACTCGGGAGGCTGAGGCAGGAGAATCACTGGAACCTGGGAGGCGGAGGCTACAGTGAGCCGAGATGGCCCCATTGCACTCCAGCCTGGTGATGGAGCGAGACTCTGCCTGGAAAAAAAAAAAAAAAAAATTAGCTGATCATGGTCCCAGCTACTTCGGAGTCAGAGGCAGGAGTATCTGTTGGACCCAGGAGGTCGAGGCTGCAGTGAGCTGTGTTTGTGCCACTGCACTCCAGCCTGGGTGAGAGAACAGAACCCTGCCTCCAACCCCAACAAAGTAGTATCCTTCAGAGAACTTGCAGGGGTGGGCACTGAAAGCTTCAGGGACCAGCAAAGACAAAAATCTGAAGCCACTTGGTGGAGAGGAGAGATTAACGGGAAATGGAACAGAGTCTCTAAGGAAACCTGAGGGATGCAGGTTAAAACCTGGAGGAGCTGATGAGAGCAGCCAGCTCAGAGCACCTTAGAGTTGCCTCTTTTTTTTTTTTTTTTTTTGAGACAGGAGTCTTACTCTGTAGCCCAAGCTGGAGTGCAGTGTCTTGATCTCAGCTCACTGCAACCTCCCCTTCCCAGGTTCAAGCAGTTCTCCTGCGTCAGCCTCCCTAGTAGCTGAGATTACTGGTGCCCGCCAACATGCTCAACTAATTTTTGTATTTTTAGTAGAGATGGGGTTTCACCATGTTGGTCAGGCTGGTCTTGAACTCCTAACCTCAGGTGATCTGCCCACCTTGGCCTCCCAAAGTGCTGGGGTTATAGGTGTGAACCTATAACTGCACCCAGCCAAGCCTATTTAACATAGAAGGACCTGGGAGTTTTGGGTTCTTTGGCAATGCATACTTTGGTGGTTTAAGAATTTGGCCAGTCTGGCCAGGCATGGTGGTACACACTTATAATCCCAGCACTTTGGGAGGCCAAGGTGGGCGGATCACTTGCGGTCAGGAGTTCGAGACCAGCCTGACCAACATGATGAAGCCCTGTCTCTAATAAAAATACAAAAGTAGCCGGGTGTGGTGGCACATGCCTGTAATTCCAGCTACTCTGGAGGCTGAGGCAGGAGAATCGCTTTAACCCGGGAGACACAGGTTGCAGTGGAAGAGACTGCCTCATTGAACTCCAGCCTGGAAACAAGAGTCTAACTCCATCTCAAAAAACCAACAACAACAACAAAAAACAAAAAAAGAGAATTTGACCAGCTGGGCTTGGTGGCTCATGCCTGTAATCCCAGCACCTTGGGTGGCCAAGGTGGGAAGATCACCAGAGGTTAGGATTTTGAGACCAGCTTGGTCAACATGGTGAAACCCGGTCTCTACTAAAAATACAAAAATTAGCCGAGTGTGGTGGCGCATGCCTGTAATCCCAGCTACTCAGGAGGCTGAGGCAGGAGAATCACTTGAACCCAGGAGGTGGAGGTTACAGTGAGTCGAGATCACACTACTGCACTCCAGCCTGGGCAACAAGGGCGAGACTCTGTCTAGAAAAAAAAAAAAAGAATTTGGCCTCTCTAGCTGGGTGCAGTGGCTCATGCCTTCATGCCTGTAATCTCAACACTGTGGGAGTCTAAGGCAGGAGGATCACTTGAGCCTAAGAGTTCAAGACCAATCTGGACATCATAGTGAGACGCCATCTCTAAAGAAAAATATAAAAATTAGCCGGTTGTGGTGGTACACACCTGTAGTCTCACGTACTCAGCAGGCTGAGGCAGGAAAATGGCTTCAGCCTAAGTGATCGTGGTTGCAGTGAGCCAAGATCATGCCACTGCTCTCCAGCCTGGAAACAAACAGACCCTGTCTCAAAAAAAAAAAAAAAAAAGAAATTTGGTCTCTGAGTTACCTGGGTTCAAATTCAGCTGTTAGTCAGCACGGAATCAAATGTAGGGACATAACCCCATCTCCTCACTGGTGAGGTGGGAACAGAGAACAAGACCCTGGCATACATTGTGCCTTGGAGGGGCCTCCCTGAGCATCTCAGAGGAGGCTCTTCGTGGGTCTGGCACTCATGAGTTGGGTGCTGTGGGGTGAGGTAGGGAAGGCTCAGTTGAGCTTGGGACCAACTCTGGGCTTTGTAGGAATCTGAAGTCCCTTCCGCAGGGGTCTCTCTGGTCCCTCGAGGCATGTATGTGCCTTTTCCAAGCTGTGCTAATCACAGGCCAGATCTCAACCTGAGTCAGTGTTGTCACATGAAAATAAGACCGGCTGGGCGCAGTGGCTCAGCCCTGTAATCCCAGCACCTTGGGAGGCCAAGGTGGATGGATCACCTGAGGTCAGGAGTTCGAGACTAGCCTGGGCAACATGGTAAAACCCCATCTCTAATAAAATTCAAACAATTAGCTGGGCATGGTGGTGTGCATCTGTAGTCCCAGCTACTGGGGAGGCTGAGGCAGGAGAATTGCTCAAACCCAGGGTTGGAGGATGCAGTGAGCCGTGATCATGCCATTGTACTCCAGCCTGAACGACAGAGTGAGACTCTGTCTCAAAAAAAAAAAAAAAAGGCTGGGTGAGGTGGCTCATGCCTGTAATCCCAGCACTTTGGAAGGCTGAGGCAGGTGGATCATTTGAGGTGGTCAGGAGCTCGAGACCAGCCTGGCCAACACGGTGAAACCCCATCTCTACTAAAATACAGAAATTAGTCAGGCATGGTGACAGATGCCTGAAATCCCAGCTACTCTGGAGGCTGAGGCAGGAGAATCACTTGAACCCAGGAGGCAGAAGTTGCAGTGAGCCAAAATCGCACCACTGCACTCAGCCTGGGTAACAGAGCAAGACTTCCTCTCAAAAATAAATAAATAAATAAATAATAAAAATACAAAGATTAGCCGGGCATGGTGGTGCACACCTGTAATCCCAGTTTCCCCTGAAGCATGAGAATCTCAAACCTGGAGGTGGAGGTTGCAGTGAGCTGAGATTGTGCCACTGCTCTCCAGCCTGGGCTACAAAGTGAGACTGTCTAAAAAAAGAGAGATGGAGTAACAGCCGGCCAGACTGAAGAAGAGCGAGCACAGGGCCAAGGAGATACCATGCTGAAAGATACTTGCTGGACCTGAGCCAAGGTGGGCAATTCTGGGACACAGGGACAGATACACTGTCTGAACTGATAACAACAAATGCTTTGGAGACCTCAGAGTGAAAAGGTTTACTCCTTGTATCCTGCCCTCCCGGTGGACTGCTTCGATTCTAACGGGGACAGGCCAGCCCCTGGAGGCTGCAAGGAGCCACAAACCTTTCCCAGAGCTCACACTCTGCACCCCTCAGTCTCTGCTGCTAAAGAATCAGCCTCAGGAAAATGGGGTGTCCACAGTATGTCCTCATTACCCAGTCACACCAGGTAGCATGGCCCGAGAGAGCCCTCATCTCTCCCCACCTTAAAACCCTCAGCATCACGGCAGGAACCAGTCCACAGGGCTTACCAGTGGGATACGCAGTGAAAACAGAAAAATGACTGTTACAAATTCCCTAAACCTGAGATGACTGAAGAGCCAGATTCCTACACCCCATCCGACTCCCCCAGGCAGTAGGAGATGACCCCAAACCCCCGTGCCCTGGGCAGAGTGGTGTGCCTGGGGAGGGCTGGCAGTGGTGCTGTGCTGTGCCAGACCCTGGCCTGCCGTTCAGTCAGTCCCGATGGTTGGGTTAAGCCAGGAGCACCCACGAGTCATTAAGGGCTGCGGATTTGTTGCTTGCTGCATCCTGCTGAAGTCCAGGCTAGCTAAAGGGTGGAATCCATCAGTGGGTGGCCGTTCTCGGGAAGCATGATGCGAGTGCTGGCATGTCCCCGGGCAGAGGAGGCATCGTGGGCAGACTCGTGGGGGGACCGGCGGAGGCATGCGCAGCAGAGGAGGCGGCGGAAGGTGCGGCGCATCTCAGCATCTCGGCAAGAGTACACGGCAGCATTGACCAGTGAGTTGGCCTCGGCCAACAGGAGGAAGTACTTCTCCACAGCCAGGACATTGCAGGACTGGCAGCCCAGACCATCCAGGAGCAGCACCACCTGGCCTGGTGTCCAGCAGACCACAAACGCCCCTGTGGGATAGAGGCGGAGGTGAGCGGGGCAGCTGTCAGAGGCCCGGCACCCACAGCTCAGTTTGGGGTTGGTCTCCAGAGCTCAAGCAATAATGGTGTAGTTTGCAGTGCAAGAGCTGCCTGCTTTGCTGATTCTGCAGTGTCACAGGAAGACCTGCTAAAAGGTGACATCTATGCTAATTGGTACACAGTGGCCAAGGCACTGGACATTTTGTGTGTTTTTTTGAGACAGGGTCTCCTTCTGTCACCTAGGCTGGAGTGCGGTGGCAAGATCAGTCAGCACCTCGCTGCAGCTTTTGAGAGACTGAGGCAGGAGAATCACTTGAGGCCAGGAGTCTGAGACCAGGCTGTGCAATATGGTGAGACCCTGTCTCTACAAAAAATAAAAAATTATCCTGGCTGGGCACAGTGGCACATGCCTGTAGTCCCAGCTACTCGGGAGGCTGAGGTGGGAGGATTGCTTGAGTCCAGGAGTTCTGGGCTGTAGTGAGCTATGCTGATCAGGTGTTCACACTAAGTTTGGCATCAATATGGTCACCTCCCGGGAGCGGGGGACCTCCAGGTTGCCTAAGGAGGGGTGAACCAGCCCAGTTTGGAAACAGAGCAGGTCAAAACTCCCGTGCTGATCAGTAGTGGGATCCCGCTGGTGAATAGCCACTGCGCTCCAGCCTGGGCAACATAGCTAGACCCTGTCTCTAAAAAATAAAAACAAACAAAAAAGAAAATGAGCCAGGTATAGTGGTGCATGCCTGTAGTCCCAGCTACTCAGGAGGCTGAGGCAGGTGGATCGCCTGAGCTCAGAAGGTTGAGGCTGCAGTGAGCTATGATGGAGCCACTGTAATCTAGCCTGGGCAACAGAGTAAGACCCTATCTCTCTTTCTCTTTTTTTTTTTTTTTTTTTGAGACAGAGTTTCACTGTTCTTACCCAGACTGGAGTGCAGTGGCATAATCTCGGCTCACCGCATCCTCAGACTCCTGGGTTCAAGCAATTCTCCTGCCTCGACCTCCTGAGTTGCTGGGACTACAGGTGCGCACCACCATGCCCAGCTAATTTTTGTATTTTTAGTAGAGACGGGGTTTCACCTTGTTGACCAGGATGGTCTCGATCTCTTGACCTCGTGATCCACCCACCTCGGCCTCCCAAAGTGCTGGGATTATAGGTGTGAGCCACCACGCCTGGCCAAGACCCTATCTCTTAAAAAAAAATTGAAATGTTCTTCCCTACTCACCCTGGAAAAAAAAAATTGAAATGAAAAAATATGTATAGATTAAAAAATAATTTAAAGGCTTTTTGTTAAACCAGGCTTAACATTGCTAAAAACGCTTAAGGGCTTCCCACAAAACTCAAAATAAAATATTACTCCTGTCGGTGCCCCTTAAGGCCTTGCTGAACCCTCCTCACAAGTCAGCTTTCCTCTTAGAGGCTCTGGCTTGGTACTGCCTTGAAGTTTTTACTTTGTGTCCCCTCTGCCTGGAACTCTCTGTTCCTATCCTCAGCATTCAGGCCTCTGCTCACAGATCACCTCCCTAAAGAACATTCCCCACCTAAGTCAGCCACCCATCACCCTCTATCAGGCAGCTTGCTTTGCTTGTTGCTTCATAGTGTCTTGTGGGAAATAGGGGGAAGCAGGGTCCCACTCACCCAGGATGATGACAACAGTCTTAACCAGGCTGAGCGTGGTCTCTCGGTATCGGGGGTGGCAGCTGACATGCTCCGCCATTCGCTGCACTCGCCGCCGCACATAGAAGAAAATGCGGGTGTAGACAGCCACCATGAGCAGGAAGACAAGCAGGCTCGACAGAGCCCAGACGGCCAAATAGGAGCGGCTGAGCAGGGGTGCCATGCGGGAGCAGCGGTCCAGGGCACAGAGGCAGTGCCAGGAGTGGGCGGGTAGCAGCCCCAGGCCCAGGGCAGCCATCCACACGCCCACAATGAGCATGACGACGCGGCCACGAGGCAGGCGGCTATGCAGCTGCACGGCCATCACGCTGCGGTGCCGCTCCACCGCGATGGCCAGCAGTGTGGCCACCGAGGCCGTGAGGCTTGTGTCCAGCAAGCCCTGCCGTAGGAACCAGCCCTCAAGGGAAAGTCGGGCTGTGCGGGGGCCAGTGTGGAACATGAGGAAGAGGTAGGCCACGCCTGCGAAGAGGTCAGCCGCGGCCAGGTTGCCCAGCAGGTAGTAGATAGGCTGGTGGAAGCGGCGGTTGGAGGTGATGGCTGCTATGACCAGCAGGTTGGTCAGCAGCACCAGCACGCTGACAGTCAGCCCCAGTGCCACCACGACTATATCCTTGGGCCGCCAGTGGGAGCTGAGCTCCTTGCCACTGTTGTTATAGAAGAAGCCAATGGTCTCGTTGTAGTAGCACTGGCCCATGGTGACCATCTGGGGACACACAGAGATCAGTGCATGTGGGCTTCTTGGAAGGGCACAGGGAGGGGTGGTAGCTGCAGAAGAGGGTCAGCACAGGAATGGGAAGGGTCTCAAATTCAGATGCCTTGGAGCAAAGTGGCAGTGGTGAGGACCAGGGTGGCCTGGAAAACGCAAGCTCCTTGGGGCTCAGGTGGGGGTTGACGAGCAGCTGTTTCTTATCTACTAATAAGACCTGTGTGCACGACATCACAGAAGTCAATGGGTTTTTTAACCAGAAGCAGCGAAACAAAACCCATCCGTGGTCCAATCCCAACTCACCTGCCGCCACTGTGTGATCCGGTTTGGGTTGTGGGGAGAGGAGGGTTAGGGCAAGACAAAGGGGTGTGAGCTGCGGGACGAGATGAGGAAGGGTCACTTTGGTGCCGGAGTGAGTGTAGGGAGCAGAGACCCCGTGGCGTGTGCGCACAAGGGTGAGGTCACTTGCTAAGACCCTGCGAGGGGGCGGTGCCGAGATGTGGAGGTGATCGGAGTGGGCAGAGAGGCGGCCCCAGAAGTTGCGCGACGGGATTTGGGCGCGAGTGCTTCCCAAACGGGCGGGGCACTGGGCTGTTCCGGGTGGGACGGAGGACATTGGCGGTCTCTGGGACAAAGACAGCGGTTGGGGAAGGGACGGCTGGCCGGGCCTCCAGGCGTCTCCAGGCTGGGGAAGGGGTAGGGGGAAAGGGATCAGGGGGCGGCGTCCTGGCCCCGCAGGCACGTGCCGCGCCCTACCCCCGGGCCCAGGCCCGCACCCGCCCGCCTCCAGTCCGTGCCGGCCTCACCTGGGCCACCCGTCACGCTGCAGACGAGGCAGGCTCGCGGGGGGTTGGGGAGGGTTCCAGGCCCATGGCCCGGTAACCTCGGCGGGAGCGGAGGAGCGTCCGGGTACGCCCGGCGCGGGCTGCAGAGAGGGCACAGGAGGCGGGGTCTCCCCCGGCGCCCCGCCCCGGCCACCTGGGGAGCCCCGCCCCGCCACCTGGGGAAGCCCCGCCTCCGCGGCCGCGTCGGGGGCGGAGTCGCCCGGAACCGCAACCCTCCAGTTTCCTCCTCGCCTCGCGGCCCCTCGGTCGCCCCTCTCTATTTCCGGCGGGGACCCCCAACCCGGGTTCTTGCACACCTCACGCGCCCGCAGTTTCGAGTCTGCGGGGCTGAGTCATTCGGGCGACCCGAGAATTCCCACCGTGACCTCGCGCCGACCGGGTGTAGTTCTAGGTGGTCTAGGGTCCGCGCCCCGGGTCCGGACCCCAACCCTCGCAGCCCCACCCCGAGCTCTTCTTCGTGTCCAATCAGCCGCCGAGTTACTAGCCACTCCCTGATCCGACTCGGCTCCCACTGCCCGGACCCCCGCCCAGCCTCGGCTTTCCCAGCTTGCAGCTACCGGACGCCGCGGCCTCCCGTGCAGGGCCCATCTCTGTGGCCCCAGCTGATCCTGGGCAAGTTAGGGTTTTGCAATCCCGCCCCCGCACTCCCCCACGCTGGGACGGCGCTGCCCCCTGCACAGCCCGGCCCTGCCCTGCCCTGCGGCTTCCTCCCTCGGCCCCCCTGCAGCGGCCCAGGGCTCCCACGGTCTGGAGCACACAGCCCCATTGTCCCGGTTATCTGCACTTTGTTATACTGTATTTAGTTATGCAGGACCGGATCGGGGACGCAGAGCTCCGGGAGGGCCGGGCCGGTGTGACTCAGCCGGGTGCTGTGGCCCAGCTCCAGATGCCTTTAGGTAGGTGCACCAGCCTGTTTGACGATGTGAGAATGAGGCCTTGAAGCTGAGCGCAGTGGCTCACTCCTGTAATCCCAGCACTTTGGAAGGCCGAGGCAGGCGGATCAGATTGAGACCATCCAGGCCAACAGGGTGAAACCAGTCAATACTAAAAATACAAAAATTTAGCTAGGCCTGGTGGCACACGCCTGTCGTCCCAGCTACTAAGGAGGCTGAGGCAGGAGAATCACTTGAACTTGGGCGGCAGAGGTTACAGTGAGCCGAGATCATGCCACTGGCACTCCAGCCTGGCCAGAGTGAGACTCCATCCATCTCAATAAACAAAAAAGGAGGCCTGGATTCCCCTGATTGGTAAATAAGGGGCAAGGAGTGCTGTCTACACTGGCCTCTCCCCTGGCAGAGACGCACCCAAGGGCATCCAGGACACAGTTTATTAGAGGCCATCAGACCCCAGGCACCACCAGAATGTGGAGTCTGAGCTGCCCATCTCCTCCAAGGTCACTTGGAGTGGGAGGAGGCAGGCAGGTGTTGGGGAGTGACCACAATGAAAGTATAAAAGGCACCCCTGTCCCAGGGGTCAGAGGCTAGGGTGGACTCCAAAGATCTCATAACCTATATTGACCCTGAGTACTGACCCTGAGTGACCTCTGAGCCCGAGTGACCCTGACGCTTGGCAATGAGCTGTGTCTAGTGGGGGGATTCTGGGACATTGCCGCCAAAAGGGTTTTAGGCCTCCCCCAGGCCATGTATTAAACAGTTTTTCCTGATAAGAACCCTCTTGACCTCCCAACATTGAACTCCTGGCTGGGTGTTTGGCCTCCAGGTGGCGGGAGGTGGGAGATATGGGTCTGTCTTCTCAATCCTGGGCCTCTTCCCTGCCGGGGTGGTCAGAGATGGTCCTCGGTTTCCTCAGGCTGGATGTCTGGGCAGCAGGTGGCCCTGGGCACAGCCTCGCTGTCCAGTTTGGAGAGTAGCCGGGCTGTCTCCTGGGTGATCTCAAAATGCTTGGGCAGCGGGGTGCGGCGCAGGGGGCTACCCTCACGGGAGGTGGCTGCAGGGCTGGGCCCCCGCCCCCGCAAACTCCCTCTGGTCAATGATGTGATGGGGGTCTCTTCACACAGCTTGGAAGCCACCAGGGCCAGACTAGACAGCTGGTGGGTGACAGGCCGCACACCGCCCCGGGGATACTTCACTGGCTGGCGGCTGAAGTGGCCACGAGACTGTGTCCCCAGGAGTAAGTCCTCTGGGCCTTGGCTGGACACTGTGTGTGTGGGTGAGTGGTCAGCGCAGAGTACTCCCAAGTTCTCTGGACATCCCCCCACCAGGAATCACCTTTTAGCCAAGCCACCCTGGGGCCAGGGCAGCCTTGGAACCTCTCCCTAACATACTCACCTTCCCCTCCTCCATCTTTGATGTCTTCAGCCATTTCCTCTCTCTGGTCACTCTGTGGAGTTGGAATCTGCAGGGAGAAACCCAAGAATGAGACCCTAACACTAAAATCCCAAGATGGAGTGAGACTCCATCTCAAAATAATAATAATAGTAGTAATCCTAGCACTTTGGGAGGCCGAGGCGGGTGGATCACAAGGTCAAGAGATCGAGACCATCCTGGTCAACATGGTGAAACCCCATCTCTACTAAAAATACAAAAAATTAGCTGGGCGTGGTGGCGCATGCCTGTAGTCCCAGCTACTCAGGAGGCTGAGACAGGAGAATTGCCGGAACCCAGGAGGCAGAGGTTGCGGTGAGCCAAGATTGTGCCATTGCACTCCACCTGGGTAACAGGAGCGAAACTCCATCTCGAAAATAAATAAATAAATTAATTAATTAATAATAATAATAAGTATACTGCTTGCCCTTCCAGCACAGAGCAGTGTCATTCATTGAGTCTGAACTGTGAGCTCCATGAGGATGGGAAAACCCTTGTTTAGCAGAGGGCCAGCCCAGGGAGTGGCTCAGCCTTCTCCACATTAGGACCCGGTAGGGCCTCTGAACTACCATCCTGGGCTGCTCTCTGCAACCTTACCAACCTTACTGTGCCATTTTTAGCTAAATGGTTGGCAGCTTGGGTTCCTTCTACACATCAGATACTGTCCTGAGCACTTTATGAGCCATTCCAGCTCTCAGAGACCCTCAGTTCACCAGCAGCTGCTTCTCAGCTCTGGGCCACTGCAGGAGAGATCCTTGCTCTCAGGAATGGCAGGTGCAGCAGGATACCAGCAGCTCAGGCCTTGGGCATGGACTGTTCTAGCAGTCTGGAGCAGCGGGTGCTGCTGCTTCCTGGTTCACAGCTGAGCTCTGGATCCAGACTGGTGACCTTTGGTAAAGATTCTAGGCCAGGCACAGTGGCTCACATCTGTAATCCCAGCACTTTGGGAGGCCAAGGTAGGCGGATCACCTGAGGTCAGGAGTTTGAGATCAGCCTGACTAACATTATAAATTCCATCTCTACCAAAAATAAAAAAATTACTTGGGCGTGGTGGCACGTGCCTATAATCCCAGCTAGTCAGGAGGCTGAGGAAGGAGAATCGCTTGAACCTGGGAGGCAGCGGTTGCAGTGAGCCCCTGGGCAACAGAGTGAGACTCAGTCTCAAAAAAGAAAAAAAAAATTAGCCAGGCATGGTGGCGCATGCCTGTAATCCAGCTACTTGGGAGGCTGAGGCAGGAGAATCACTTGAACCCAGGTGGTGGAGGTTGCAGTGAGCCAAGATCACGCCATTGCACTCCAGCGTGGGCAACAAGAACAAAACTCTGTCCAAAAAAAAAAGATTCCAACTGCGGCCAGGCACAGTGGCTGATGCAGGTGGATTACTTGAAGTCAGGGATTCAAATAATCATGTGCCTGTAGTCCCAGCTACTCCGGGGGCTGAGGCATGAGAATCAATTGAACCTGGGAGGTGGAGGTTGTGGTGAGCCAAGATTGCTCCAGCCTGGGAAACACAGTGAGATTCTGTCTCTAAAAAAAAAAAAAAAAAAAAGATTCCAACTGTACAGCTCCCATTTTAGGGCCATTCATTGCTGAGAGCCTGCACTGTTTCATCTGTAAATGATTTTCACTATCAGCACCTGCTTCTCAGGATTGTGGAGAGGACAACAGGAAGCCTCTGTAGCATCCCCTGCAGAGCAGGTGCACATTCAATGGTGATCTGTGCCCGGTGCATAGGAGTGCTCCGTGGTGTTCCACATCCTGTGCATAGCAGATGCAAGGTCGGGGTGGCTGGCGGAGCCACCTGAGCCCACTCCTCTTTCGTATCACTTCCTACCACCTTCCCCTTATTCATTACAGAGTGGAGCTGCGCTCCTACCTCAGGGCCTTTGCACTGGCGATTCTCTTTGCCTGGAACACCCTCACCTGATCTTCACGTGGCTGGCTCACCCCTTCACGTCCTTCCAGTCTTTACTCAAATGCTCAAATCTACCTGCTCTATAAGACCTGCTCCTACCATCCTCCTTAGTGCTACAGACTGCCCTCTACGTTCCCACAGTGCTGCTTCCCCGTGTCCTGTGTCTAAATTTTGTTTTGTTTTGTTTTTTGGAGAGGGAGTCTGGCTCTCTTGCCCAGGCTGGAGTGCAGTGGTGCCATCTTGGCTCACTACAACCTCTGCTTCCCAGGCTCAAGCGATTCTCCTGCCTCAGCCTCCCAAGTAGCTGGGATTAACAGGTGCACACCAACACGCCTGGCTAATTTTTATATTTTCAGTAGAGGCAGGGTTTCTCCATGTTAGTCAGGCTGGTCTTGAACTCCTGACCTCAGGTGATGTGCCTGCCTCAGCCTCCCAGAGTGCTGGGATTACAGGCACGAGCCACCATGCCCAGCCATTACTCTATCTTGTAATGATCCATTACCCTTATCATCATCACCTTATGACATCCCTGATGACTGACTTAGTGTCATGTTTATTGTTGGTCTCTCCCCACTAAAACACAGGCACGGAGAGGACAAGGTCTTTGAATATTTAGCTCATGGATGTATCTGCAGTGCCTACAACAATGCCTGGCACACAATAGATGTTCAATAAATATTCTGTTGGCGGCATGAATGACCACCCATGTTAGTACCTCTGCAGGGCTGTCCCCTCTTGTTACACCATCTCTGCCCACTGCTTATTCCTCACTATTCCTTCCAGAATGAACACAAGTTAAATGAAGAAGGGAGGAGGAGAATGAAGGAAATTTTCAAATTTTCGAAGGAAGATGAAAGAGAGGATATGGGCCCAGTGGGTTCCTACCTCAGTGGGTGTAGCGGTGAGATGCTGCTCCAGGTCACTGTGGGGCTGGGGGTCCGAGCCAGGGGCCGAGGCTAGGACTGGGGGCTGGGAGTCCGGGTCAAGGTGCAGGGGTGGTGGTTGGGGGCTGGTTGTAAGGAACCCAGGGGCTGGGCTGGAGTCTCGGGGTGGAGGCTCGGTGGCCTGGGGGAGCTCATCCATCCCGAAGATCTGCTCGTAGTGCACTATGAGGAACTCCACAAGCTGGGCCTGATGCCCAGAGTCCAGCAGGCAAGTGACAGGGATGGCGCCGGCTGCCCGAGGGCCATCCGGTGGCCGCAGCAGTGTTGGCCCGAACACAATGCCCAGATTGTTGGCAGACATCTTGTTTTCCATAAACCGTGCAGCAACCCTGGGGATGGTGTGAAGAGAAAGTTCAGGGTACAAGGTGCAAGGTCATTGGTCTGAGGGCAAGGGTAGGACCTGAAGGCCAGCTTAGTGGTGACTTGCCCGTATCACAGGTGTAAGTCCTCTGAGACCAGCAGCCACATATCCAGGGTTGGGGGTCAGGGGTCAGTAGCCAAAGTTATGAATCATGGATTACGGTTCAGAGTTCAGAAAATGTGGGCCAAAGGTCAGAGGTCACTGTCAGGGGTCAGCCAGGGAAGTCAGTAGTCTGCGTCCAGGGAGGAGGGTGGCGTTTCAGGGCTCAGGGGCCTGTGCACACCTGAACAGATGGGCCACCAGGTGCCGCAGGGTGTTGTAGTTAGAGGGAGGCAGCTGCGCCAAGAGGGTCTTGAGCGAGGGGATAACCTCAGGGCTGCGGCTGGGGGTCCTGCGGTCGTCCCCAGGGTCTGCATGCAGGGTCTTAGCCAGAGAGATGAAGGCGTCGTAGAGGTGGAAGGGGATCACGGGGTCGGTGAGCTGGGGGTGGAACGGAGGGCGCGATACGAGTGTGGGTGGGCTGCGGAGGGCCCCTGCCCACGTCCCCCTCAGTGTCCTGACACCCACCTCCTGAAGAAATCGCTTGAGGACACTCGAGACGTCATGAGGCGAGTTCCCCGACAGCTCCACCAACGCTCGGCCATTCTCGAAAGCCTGGCACAGACGCTCCACACGGACCCGGGACCCGCTGACCCGGTAAATGCCCTGCAGCGTGAGGGGGAGAGACGGACGCCTGGTTCGTGATCAGTCCATTGATTTGTTCAGGTCACTTCTGGGGATGATGAAGGGTCAGGACAGCACCTGCACATCCAGGGCGCGGTGTTCTATCTCAGCTGTGCACCTCGTGACCACAAAGGGTACCTCCTCCGGGAAGTCTCTGGGGAGCTGCAGGAAGTCGACCCCAAAGATGGGTGTCCGGGCTGGGAGCCGCCTGTGTCCACAGAGAATCAGCAGAGTCTCCAGGCAGCGCTTGTGGCAGGTCAGGAAGCACTGCAGGGAAGGTCACAAGGAGGGGGGTCATTAGGGATTAGTGGGGGAAGAGGAAACAGGGATCCTCAAGGAATGGGGGCTTATGGGAGACATCAGATTAGGGTGGGTCCTGGGGGCAGAAAGGTTGTAGGAATCTCAGGTTGGGGAGGTGATCGGGGTCAGCAGAGGTCATTTGGTCATCAGCCCAGGCCATACCTCCTCACACTCCGTCCCGCTGACCATGAAGGCTTCACACTCGCGGCACTTGGCTGGGCCCCGCAGTCGCCGCAGCCGGTGGGTCTGAGCCGCGCTGGACAGTGTCCACTTCCTAAAGGGGCTCCCCAGCCCATTCTCCAGCCCGTCTCCCAGGTCTGCAGGGAGACAGGGTCAGGGGTGGCTGATCCACCTCCTGCCCTGCGCTGTCCCATCCTGCCCTACCCTGTCTGCTTCCAGCCTCACCAGGGTCTCGCTCCTCAAAGTCATCTGAGGACTCAGTGCCTGTGGATGAAGCCTTCACCAGCCTTCGCCTGCCAGCGCCTGGGATCAGAGGAATCATGGGAGATTCCTGGGTTATGGAGGCACTTCTGCTTTATTAGGGCTTCCAGAACCACCCACTAATTCCCAAGGGGTCAGAGGTCAGGAGAGGGATTAGACAGGTCAGTGGTTAAGGGTTGGAGAATTGGGTCAGCAGCCCGGGGTGGGGGCAGGGAGTGGTTCAGAAGCTGGATCAAGAGGTTGAGGAAATAGGCTGGGCGTGGTGGCTCATGCCTGTAATACCAGGACTTTGGGAGGCCGAGGCAGGAGGATCACATGAGGCAAGGAGCTTGAGACAAGCCTGGCCAACATGGCAAAACCTCTTCTTTACCAAAACTACAAAAATTAGCCAGGCATGGTGGCGGGTACCTGTAGTCCCAGCTATTCAGGAGGCTGAGGCATGAGAATCGCTTGAACCTGGGAGGTGGAGGTTGCAGTAAGCCAAGATCGCACCACTGCACTCCAGCCTGGGCAACAAGGCAAGACTCTGTGTCAAAAAAAAATATTTAAAGGTCCCATCTCTCGGCTTTGGAGACCCCTCCGTCTCTGTACAGGGGAGCCTCTTCTTTCTTTCTTCCCCCTTCTTTTTTTTTTTAAAGACGGGGTTTCACCATATTGGTCAGGCTGGTCTTGAACTCCCAACCTCAGGTGATCCGCCCGCCTTGGTCTCCAAAGTGCTTGGATTACAGGCGTGAGCCACCACACCCAGCCTTTCTTCTCCCTTCTTTCTTGCCTATTAAACTCCCTGCTCCTTAAAACTAAAATAAATAAATAGATTAAAAGGCTGGGTGCGGTGGCTCACACCTGTAATCCCAGCACTTTAGGAGACCGAGGCAGGCAGATCACCTGAGGTCAGGAGTTTGAGATCAGCCTGGCCAACATGGTGAAACCCCATCTCTGCTAAAAAATATGAAAATTAGCTGGTGTGGTGACTCATGCCTGTAATCCCATCTACTCTGGAGGCAGAGACAGGAAAAGCGCTGGAACCTGGGAGGCAGAGGTTGCAGTGAGCTAAGATCGCACCACTGCTCTCCCCAACCTGGGCGACAGAGTGAGACTCTGTCTCTAACAAATAAAGAAATAAAAATGTAAAAAGGTGAAAAAAGAGGTTGAGGAAATAGGGGAATAGGATAGGTCAGAGGTCAAAGGATAAAGATTGAGGGTCAGAGCTTGGCCAAGGGCTGGAGGATGGTCACAGGTGGAGTGTGGGTCAGGACCGGGTCCTATCCCTACCTGGGCTGGAAGTAGGAGAGTCCAGGGACCGAGATTCACTGCCGCCGCCCACGCTGTCCACATCACTGCCCAGAGTGGGGCCTGGAGTCCCTAGGTGGGACAGGTCAATAAGAATGGTCTCCTGCTCCCAAACCCCGCTCCTGCAACCCACCTATGGTGCAACGAACTCCTGGTGCCACTCCCACCCGGCCCTCATTGCACTCACCTTGCCAGCGCCAGCCTGTGCCCGGGTCCTCCCAAGGGCCTGGCTCAGCTGAATTCTCGTCCAGCCTTGGAGGTAAAGGCCCGGAGAGCTTCTTTCTGATGTCCAGAGGGGAGCTGAGAAGACAGGGGCATGAAGGTTTGATCCCCAGGAAACGGGCCTGGGGTGATGGCACCCAGGCATCATGTTTAGGTACCAACTCCAAGCACTTAGGTCTGCAAGCCTGATACCTATGGGCATTGTGGCCCCCTGAATACAGTAACCCCAAATTCCTGCCCCTGCCCCTAGGACTGGGACAACCCATCCACGCTCCTAAGATCCCCAAGAGCCTGGAGTACTAAATTCCACTAAGGCTTTGCGTTCTCTGACCTCAGTACCCAGCCCCGCGGTGCCAACATCCTGGCATCGGGATTCCAGGGCTCATTCCTGAGACCCTGCTCCAGCGACTCACCTGTTAACGGAGTGAATGATCTCCTGGAAGGAGAAGAGGGGCGGTGGGGGCGGCGGGACCTCGGGCTGCAGCACCCGCACGAACTCCTGGTAGCGCTGGCCCGGCTCAAAGGGCGCACAGCACTCGGCCAGGGCGGCGAAGGCGCGGGGGCCACGCTCCGCCTGTGCCCCCCGCAGCCTGAAGAGACCCAGGGTCACCTGCAGGGTGGCGAAGACAGGCTGGGGAGGGGAGAGGAGCAGGCGGAACCTGGGAGCCTGGGGGTGGGGCCAGAACTAGGGCGGGGCCTTACCCTTAGAGATGCAAATGTATTTCGGATTTGGAAGGCATCTGGGCTGCTTAGGAACTAGGGCAGTCGGCCAGGGGACAGGGCATGGTCAGAGCACGGCCCGGTCATCCAGAGGACAGGACCCCATGAGGGTGGGGCCGGGACAGTGGGTCTGGGGCGGGAACTGGCTGCAGAGGGAAATGGCCTAGCCCTGGTATCCCCAGGGTGGCTTAGGGGGATGAGAAGTGGGGCACTCAGTCGGGGCCCCAACAGGGTGAGGGGAGGATGGCCTTAGGGATGGGCCTCACCCGCCTCAGCAGTTCGTCCCCCTGAAACACCAGCTTGCGCACGTGCGACACGATTCGCTGCTTGGCTGTCTCCAGGTCCTGCTGCCGCGCGTTGGCCTCGCGGATGCAGGTGTGGTACAGCACCTCGGCCTCCTGCACCTGGGGAAACGGAGGCCGGGGGCGGGGTGGGCCCAAATTCCTGCCCCTGCCCCTAAGACTGGGATGTGTGGGCGAGAGCGGAGGGCAGGGGGCGCCAAAGCACAGCAGGGGCTCGAGGCCGGCTTCCCACCTTGGCCTGGGCCTCCTCTCGTGAGCGCCGCCGCCGCTCCTGCTGCTTGCTAGGTCCCGGTGAGGCCTGGGGGGCCGGGTCCTCAGGGGACCCCTGGGAGCGCACCCGCAGGTCTTCGCTGCGTTGCACATACTGCAACTGGGCACGCCGAAGTGCCTGCACCGCCTCATTCTGGGGGATGATGAGGAGAAGGTCAGCATCCAAGCCTCGTTCTCAGCCTACCCCTCTCCCCATTCCGAGCCTCACCATCCGCTTCTGCTCCTTCATCCACTGCTCCTTGAACTCCTTCCGCCACTTCTCAATCTCAGTCCGTTTGGCGGCGAGGGGCTGGCAAGGGTTGGGATTGGGAATGGGGACGCTGCCTTAAGGCCACTCCAGAAGCACCCACCCAGTCCTTCCATTCCTGTGCCATATGCTTTGCCACCTCTGGACTCTTTTTTTATTTTATTTTTTTGAGATGGAGATTGCCCAGGCTGGAGAGCAATATGCATCTCAATTAGCAATCTCAGCTCACTGCAACCTCTGCCTCCTGGGTTCAAGCGATTCTCCTGCCTCAGCCTCGTGAGTAGCTGGGATTACAGGCATGCGCCACCATGCCCAGCTAATTTTTTGTATTTTGAGTAGAGATGGGGTTTCACCATGTTGACCAGGATGGTCTCGATCTCTTGACCTTGTGATCCACCTGCCTCGGCCTCCCAAAGTGCTGGGATTACAGGCGTGAGCCATCGCGCCTGGCCAAAACAATTTTTTTTGTAGAGACAGGGTCTCCCTATGTTGCCCAGGTTGGTCTCAAACTCCTATGCTCAAGCAAATCCTCCCTCCTTGGCCTCCAGAAGTGCTGGGATCACAGGTGTGTGCCTGGCCAGACCCTTTCCTGAGTCAGTATTCTCCTCCTGGAGTCTTCTCCAGACCTGCTCTCCCCCACCCCTGTCCCAAAGCCTCAAGTGGTCACCTCACCCTTTCCCTGGATCCAGAGACACGAAAACTTTCCTCCTGAGAACACTCAGCACCTCGTGCCCTCCCCATGAATGAAAACAGGGTTTTTGGCTGGGTGTGGTGGCTTATTCCTGTAATCCCACCACTTTGGGAGGCCAAGGTGGGTGGATCACCTGAGGTCAGGAGTTCGAGACCAGCCTGGCTAACATGGTAAAACCCTGTCTCTACTAAAAATACAAAAATTAGTCAGGAGTGGTGGCACATGACTATAATTCCAGCTACTAAGGAGGCTGAGGCAGTTGAACTGCTTGATTCTAGGAAGCAGAGGTTGCAGTGAGCCAAGATTATGTTGCACTCCAGCTTGGGTGACAGAGACTCTGTCTCAAAAAAGAAAGAAAGAAAAGCAAAGTTTTGCAATTGCACAGGAAGCCCAGCTTGAATCTTCGCTAGGTAACCTTGGGCAAGTTCCTGAGCATCCCTGGGCCTCAGCTTCCTCATCAGTGAAATGGTGATGTTGGTAGCCGGGCCTTCCTCCCAGCTTGCTGGGAACTGAAGGGATCAGGCCTGAAGGACAGCAGGACAGCAGGGTGCCCTCTGGAATATTCCACCCCTCTGCCTCACCTGGTAGTAGTCTCTTTTCTGCTGGGCCAATGTCTCCATGGCCAGGGCTCCCAGGTTGAGGTCGTGCTCCAGAAACAGAGTGTAGATGTACTGCAGAGGCATGTGGCTCTGGGGGACACAGAGTGGTACAGGATACTGAAGATCTGTGGGGGCAAAGCTGGGGTTCTGGGGGTTTGGGCCCTCTGGGGGTCTGGTCATGACTACCTGCTGTTGAATGGACATCTTGCCAGCTTCAGCGATCTTCATGGTGCTTTTGGCAAACTCCAGCTCTGGAGGAAGAGAGGAGGGCTCTGGGTCTGGCTGGGGTCTGGGGACTACCTGGTGCCTGGGGCTGGGCGGAAGGGGTCCTCACCGTAGCTGGCTCTCTTTTCAGTCCAGGCAAGCAGCTCCTTGGCATAGCGGCTCCAGGTCTTGGCATATTCCAGGGCTGCGTCTACACCCCCATTGGTCCGAATGAGCCGCAAATCCAGTTCTTCCCCTGGGGAAGATGGATGGACCTCTGACCTCTGTATCCTACTCTGCTATGGATGTCTTCTTCCCTAAGCCCCCAGACCAGACCAGTGGCCCCTAACCTACACCCTCACCGCTCCCTTAACACTGCTTTGGGATCATTTATCCTGGTTGCAATTTTACAGATTCTCTGTTTTTGTTTTTTTTTTTTAGACAGGGTCTTGCTCTGTTACTCAGGCCGGAGGGCAGTGGTGAGATCATATCTCACTGCAGCCTCAAAGTCCTGGGCTTAATTGATCCTCCAGCCTCAGCTTCCAAAGTAACTGGGACTACACGACCATACCCAGCTAATTAAAAAAACAATTTTTTTTTTTTTGAGTCAGAGTTTCGCTCTTGTTACCCAGGCTGGAGTGCAATGGCACGATCTTGGCTCACCGCAACCTCCACCTCCTGGGTTCAGGCAATTCTCCTGCCTCAGCCTCCTGAGTAGCTGGGACTACAGGTGCACACCACCATGCCCAGCTAATATTTTTTTGTATTTTTAGTAGAGACGGGGTTTCGCCATGTTGACCAGGATGGTCTCAATCTCTTGACCTCGTGATCCACCCGACTCAGCCTCCCAAAGTGCTGGGATTACAGGCATGAGTCACCGTGCCTGGCCCTAAAAATATATATATATATATATATATTTTGGTAGGGATAGTATCTCACTGTTGCTCAGGATGGTCTCAAATTTCTCGCCTCAAGTGATCCTCCTGTCTCAGCCTCCACCCTGCCTGGCTATTTTACAGATTCTCTACCCAGGCGACGGGGGTCTCCCTAAGGGCTGGGACTGGGATCTGTTGTGTGCAGTGCCTTAGTGCCAGAACCTAAACAATGCCTGGCAAGGAAGAGAGGGTCAATGGTGACTTGCTGAAGGAAAGACTTCTTTCTATCCCCACTGTCCTGGCCTCCAAACCCCCCTACCTGTGAGGGGTGTAGGACCCTCTGGGGAGGGGCCGCTCCAACAGCTGGTTTCATTGGTCTGTGGGAAAGAGAGACAGTATCAGAAGCAAACAGGGCAGGGACCTTAGGCCCCCTGTGCCTGAGGCCTTCCTCCCTGCTCCCCTAGTCCCCACTCACGACAGTGGCTGTGGGGGTCTTGTCAGGTTCTGGGTCTTCTGAGAGTAGAGGGTCTCCAGCCAGCATCTCAAAGGTCCTGGGAGGTAAAGATGTGTCAGGATGCCACCTTATACTCGGTCTGTCCTGCAAGGGGTCTTGGGGATCCTAGGGCTGTTTGTGGCAAACATCACCGCTGTGGCATCTCTTATACTGGGAGGTCTGAGGAATGGTACTATGGGGGAATCAGGTGAGTTTTTTTAAATGGGACTTGAGAAAGAGTCTAAAGGGCCCCAGGGAACTTTGGGGTTCATAGAGTAGGATTACAGGGATCACAGATGTTTTAAGGGGTTACAAGAAGGATATGTAGGGGTTCTAGGACCACTTTGGGAATTTCCAGTCAATTTAGGGGGGCACTTATGGGATACCCAGGCATTTGGAGGGTTCCATTCCTAGATTTCTCTGGCCATTAGGTATGTGGCTCCAGATGTTACAGGATCCAAATGGGACTTCAGGGCACCTAAATGGTTAGGGGCTTGGGGCATCTTGGCAGGATGTGGGGGTGACCCAGGCTCAGACTCACACATTGCCCAGTGAGATTTCAAGATTGTCCAGGCTCCGGAAGATGTCACTGTACCTCTTCCTGCCCTCAGGAGCCGGGGGGAGGCCTGGGGGAGGGGAGTATAATACATGGGCTAACCACTGCCTCCCTTCACCCACGACATCTCAACCAGTCTCACTGGAGGGGGTGGAAGAGAAAGGGAAAGAGAGAAAGAGAAGGGTGTGGGGGCTTGGTTGGGGCCAACTTGAGGCAGGCAGATGGACTCACACACCACGAAACAGAGACCAGAGACAGCTGCTCAGGGAACAGAGACACCCACACCCTGGGTCTGCCTGGACCCAGAAGCAAACTAACAAAACAGATGCCCCAGATGCAACCACAGTGTCCCGAGAAGAGAGCAGGCCTGACAATGGAACCACATGGACTCCAGGCTAGACAGATGGAAATACACAAGGGGCAGCCAGGCAGAGCCTGAGGCAGAAACACACATGGAGAGACTGAAGCCATGAGGGACATAAAGACCGAATGACAGGACATACACAACACAGACACAAAGACGGCCGGAAACGCCAAGTTGGGCCCTGCCACATTTCTGCTGCCCCCATGCCTGCCCCTTCTCCTAGGGGGCCCAGACCAGCACTGCCCAGCTCCTGGGGGCTACAGAGGAGCCCTGCGGGGATCCTACCGCGTTGCCCTCTCCCTCAGCAGTCGTGACACCCTGCCCCCATCACAAAAATCAGAAGTAGAAGCGGCCACTTCCCCTTCCTGGGCCCCCTCCCCCAGGCATCCGGGGTGAGAGATCAGAAAAGAGAGAGGGAGCCAAGGGCTAGTGTTCCGAACCCCTCCAGGCATAGAGGTCCCCACAATGGAGGATCCCTGTGTCGTTCCCATTCAGGAACTCCTCTCCTGGCTCTCGGGACAAGTGTGTCCCCTCAATATAGGAAGCAGAGGACGGTCAGGGGAGGCCCCTCCTGAATTTCCGATCCCCTACCCGGCTCTGCTGCGTCCATGCCTGGGCCTGGGGATCGCTCTGCGGGGACCGGGATGGGGATAGGGTCTCGCGCCGGCGGGGCCGAGCCCCGATTTCCTGCCGCTGCTGCCGCCGCCCGGGTTCCGCGTTGCTCCGCCCGCGGGAGACCACGCCCCCACATCAAACCACGCCCCAAGTGGCCACACCCCCAAAGCCCAGAAGCCTTTATGGCACCCTCCTCTACCTGAGCCGCCTGAAGCTGGGTCGGGCCAGTGCACCGAGCGACCACCCAGGGCTGCAGTGCCCCTGGCCTGGGCATCCTAGGACTTCATCTAGACCATAGTTTCCCTCCCAGATCTTTGTGCCGCCCCAAATCCCACGGAACCCCAGCGCCTTCCTACTCGAATGGCTGTAGAGTCCACCCATCCTGGGGAGCCTGTCCCAGGAACTCCCACAATCCACGACTGCAGTGATCCCCTTGCCCAGGGATCTCTCGGAGTCCTGAAACCACCTCGGCCTCAGTGGAGCCATGGCGCCCCGTAGTGGAGACCTGATATTCTGCCCGATTCCAACTGAAATTCTAATACTCTGGGGCTGGAGAACCCCTAGCCTGGGGAACCCCCAGTGACCCTCAAAGCTGGATCAGGCTCCAAGCCCCAATTACAGCAAAGCAGGAAGCAGCCCTTTTAGGCAGGGGGTGGAGGTTTGTCCAGAAGCGCCAGCTCTGGGGTTGCCACAAGCCGCTTGTAAATTGTAATGTTCCCATACCCAGCATTCAGTGGACTTTTGGGGCTGGAAATACAGACTTTAAAGTACGTTTATAACTTTACTTCCTCAAGGCTTTGGCTGCTAAGGAGGCAGGAATTCTCCGACTGGCTCCGTGCTGCCTGCTCTGCAATTCTTGAGTTGTGATGAGTGAGTCCATTGAAAGGAAGGACACTATTGAGCTGAGAGCCAAGCCAGGCTTCTGGGTCACATCCTAGCTGATGCTCAGCCAGAGCTCCCTGACAGTGACACGAGATGGTACAGCAGCGCAGGACCCCAAAGGCGTGACAGTCAGTACTTGTAATGATGCTGATCGTACTCCTCACGTCTCAGACACCACCAGAGAGGAAGGCATGCTGTTATCTTATGTATTATGGGAAAGAAAAAAATACCACGCATCCTAAGGCTCCTCAGCACCTGAGCTGTAAAATGTGAAATGAACCATGAAAATATGGAGATGCTATTTTTTCTTTTCTTTTTTTTTGAGATGGAGTCTCCCTCTGTTGCCCAGGCTGGACTGCAGTGGCACGATCTCCACTCACTGCCACCTCCACCTTCCATGTTCAAGTGATTCTCATGCCTCAGCCTCCTGAGTAGCTGAAATTACAGGCGCCCGCCCCCACAACTGGCTAACCTTTGTACTTTTAGTAGAGACGGGGGTTCACCATGTTGCCAGGCTGGTCTTGAACTCCTAATCTCAGGAGATCCACCCACTTGGGCCTCCCAAAGTGCTGGAATTACAGGCATAAGCCCCTGTGCCTGGCCTGGGAGTGCTTGTTAAATTAGGAAATATGCACTGAATTATCTGAGCAAGGACAAGTCCAAGTTCAACTGCTCCAAGTGCTAGAGGGTTTCACCAACATCACACACCCACACACCCTTTGGGGAGGGGGAGTGCTGGGACCTTCTTTAGTGACCCTCTGTCCCCAATCCCCCAGCAAACACTGCGTGGCGCAGATGAGGTAGAGCCAGGGCTTTAAAATCTCAGGTGCTGCTTTATTTACCAAAGGTGCTGGCTCAGGGCTGGCTCTGCCAAGCCAGCGGATGGCTGTGGGGGTCCCAGCTCAGTCTTCCAAGGGCGAGGCTGTACAGTCTTGCCATGGGGGTTTGGGGACAGGGTTCCCTCCCGGGGCCCTGGTGGGGTTCCCGCCCAGCGGCAGCCAGGGTGGACAGTGGGTACCAGCACTGCCATCTCAGGAAGGCACTTTCAGCTTCGGGGTCCCCAAGAAGAACTGCAGGACACGGTCGGCCAGGAGCGCCAGGCAGAAGTCCAGGAGCAGGACCTGGGCGATGACCAGCTTGAACTGTGAGGGCACGGAGGGATGATGAGCTGGAGACCTGCAGCCCGGCCTAGGGTCACCGCCACAGGACGGACCCATCAAGCTGAGCCCCAGGGTCACATCCACAGGGCCACTGACCTCCACAGGGATGTCCACGAGGCCAAACTGGCTGTTGAAGTCAGGCGAGGAGCCGAGGAGCAGGCCAACGATGGCCAGGAGTGACACTGCCAGACTCCACACCAGGGGCTTGTTCTCAGGCAGGCTCTCCATGAAGGGAGGGCCCTGTGGGGATGAGGGACAGATGGCTTCATGGGTGGGGCTGGATGGGCAGACAGGGAGTGTTCAGGCGGGGCCCAGGCGTCACCTTGTAGTTGATGGCGAAGGTGGCCATCTGCATGGCCATGGCCATGATGTAAACGGTGCTGTTGACCAGGCTTGGCTCAAACTCCTTGTACAAGTCCACGAACTGCTCCTGCCTGCAGGGACACATGGGGGTCAGGCCCTCATCTTCTGCTCTGGCTCACACACTCTCTGTGACTTCCTGCTGCCCTGGTACAGAGCCAGGGCCCTGCCTGTCCGGTATCCCTCCCTGGTCACCCTGGATAAGCCCCAGGCTCTCCTGCTGATGTCTGTGGAGTCACCGTCCTGCTACTCTCAGCTGTAGGGACATCACCTCCTCCGGGCAGCACTTACTTCTCAGGGCTCCGGGCCTGGGCCTCACGGTACAGGTAGACGAGGCTCAGGAAGTGCACAAAGAACTGGAGCATGACGGTGAGGATAGTGTACAGGTTGAAGATGTTGGGCAGGGGTCGTTCTCGGGAAAGGGTCTTGAGAGGCTGCAGCAGCAAGGCAGGTTGAGGGGAGGTCAGGACCTGGCTCACTCGGGCCACACTGACCACTCAGCAGGCAGTAACATCCCCTGCCTCCTGGGAGGCCTTGTGCAGAGCCGCCACCAAATCCTGGAGGAGTCCTGGGTCGGCAGCAGTCTCCCAGCCCTGTCTGCCTCTGACCCCTGAGCCCAGGGCTGCTTTCCTGGCCCAGTGGCAGCCACAGGGGCCTGAGAATCATGAAGCAGATCCTGCCCTCCCTGGAGCCCACGGGACAGGCACAACGCTGCCCAGCCAACCTCCCACTCCCTCCAGCTACCGGGGCCTCCCTGCCTCAAGCCCATGCCTGGTTGAGACCTTTCTGTCTAGTTCCGGGCCAGTGGCCCTCTGGTTCTTTATACCTCAGTCTGAGTGTCAGTGTCACACAGCTGTCCCCAGCTGTCCAACAGCCTGTCCTGTGTAGCCTGTGATCCACTTAGTTGCTTTTTAGCCTCTTGATAATTGTTCCTTGCTTGTGGGGCTCTGTACAGCCCACCCCTGGGATCCCTGTCTGTGAACAGGTGTGGGACCCCAAGCTGTGCTACCTGGAAGGGTCTGGAAGCCTCAGTCCTCACCTGCCCTGCCGGCAATTCCTGGGCCATCGCAGCTACAGCCCCTACCTCTGGGGCCCTGGGTCCTGTCTGTAACTTGGGGATGACAGTTCCCGTGCCTCTGACAGCCTGGTCCTGGCTAGCCCATGCATCCCTGACCTCCCAGCACCACTGGGGCCCACCTTGGAACGGGAGATGAAGAGGAAGCAGCCGGCTAACAGCAGCCCCTGTAGGGTGGCCTGGAAATCACTGAACTTGACCCCCTCCAGGTAGAGGACGCTCTGGCTGTAGGCCAGGATGAGGGCGTTGAGTGCCAGGATCTTGAACATCTGCAGTGTGGTCACCAGCGTGCAGCGACCCTGTTTGATCACGTGGCAGACTGCAGGGTTTCGGGGAGGCAGCTGTGGGTGTGGGTGTGCTTACCAGCACCAGCGGGGGAATGGAGGAAGGGGAGCAGGGCTCGGGGGACTCACTGCACTGGATGGACGAGAGCTTGGAGGTGAAGGGTGCTGCGATGCTGGCGTCCCCCAGCTTCACAATGGGTGTGTTCTCATCCTCGAGGTCTCGAAGCACCTGGCTCAGGCGGTCCTGCAGGGTGGGCAGCAGGGTGTCAGCCCTGGCCAGGATGGGGTACAGAGCCTCCCCTCTTGGGACTTACCCTCTGGGAGGCCAGCTGCTCCTCGGAGGGAGGGAGCCCTGACCGCTGCTTGGCTGTCCTGGAGGTGGCTCTGATGCCACTGTTGCTCAGGGTTGGGCTGTCCCGGGGCCGCCGTCGCCGCTCCACGACCCGCTCAGGGGCGTTGGCCAGGAGTGCCACACCTGCCAGGCAGGAGGGTGTTAGGTCCGGAGGAGCGGGCTCCATGGAAGGGCAGATTCGCTGGCCTCAGAGCCCCTGCTCCTGAAGCTCCACAGCTGGCTCCTGTCAGGACAGTTCCCAAACTTCCCCATTTCACTTGACCCCCTAAGGAGACCTCAGAGAGCACCCATGTTGCTTTCTACAAATTACTTTAAGAAAACAAACCACCACTAACAACTCCCACAACAAATGCAATGAAAAAACACACACTAAATGGGTCAAAACTAAACTGATTTTGGCCAGGTGAGGTGGCTCACGCCTGTAATCCCAGCACTTCAGGAAGCAGAGGCAGCCGGATCACCTGAGGTCAGGAGTTCAAGACCAGCCTGGCTGATATGGTGAAACCCCGTCTCTACTAATAATACAAAAATTAGCTGGGGTTGGTGGCATGTGCCTTTAATTCCAGCTACTCAGGAGGCTGAGGCAAGAGAATCGCTTGAACCTGGGCGGCAGAGGATGCAGTGAGCTGAGATCACACCACTGCACTCTAGCCTGTGCAACAGAGTAAGAAAGACCCAGTCTCAAAAACTAAACTGATTTCAAAAGAAATTGCCAAGGAGCATGATTCTAGGAGGCAAACAAAGCTCAAAAATTGTTCTATAGATAAAAACAGATAAATACTGGAAAAGCAAAAAAACAATGTGAGGTTGATCTTTAAAGTTCAATTAAACACCTGTGTTCTTGAAAGAAAAAAAAAAACAAAAAACAGCCAGGTGAGGTGGCTCACGCCTGTAATCCCAGCAATTTGAGAGGCCAAGGAGGGCAGATCACCTGAGAGGTCAGGAGTTCGAGACCAGCCTGGCCAACATGGTGAAACCCCATCTCTACTAAAAATACAAAACTTAGCCAAGTGTGGTGGTGGGCACCTGTAATACCAGATACTTGGGAGGCTGAGGCAGGAGAATTGCTTGAACCCGGAAGATGGAGGATGCAGTGAGCTGAGATCACACTATTGTATTCTAGCCTGGGTGACAGAGCAAGGCTCCGTTAAAAAAAAAAAAAAAAGGGGCCAGGTACGGTGGCTCAAGCCTGTAATCCCAGCACTTTGGGAGGCCGAGGTGGGTGGATCACGAGGTCAAGAGATCGACACCATCCTGGTCAACGTGGTGAAACCCCGTCTATACTAAAAATATAAAAAATTAGCTGGGCATGGTGGCACGTGTCTGTAATCCCAGATACTCAGGAGGCTGAGGCAGGAGAATTGCCTGAAACCAGGAGGCGGAGGTTACGGTGAGCCGAGATTGAGCTATTGCACTCCAGTCTGGGTAACAAGAGCGAAACTCTGTCTCCAAAAAAAAAAAAAAAGACAGTGTCTTGCTCTGTCACTAAGGTTAGAGTGGATCACACCACTGTCTTGACCATCTAGACTCAAGTGATTCTCCTGCCCCAGCCTCCCAAAGTGCTGCGATTCCAGGCAGGAGCCACAGTGCTCAGTCATAAGTGCTTTCAACAGAGATCCGAGGCTATGAACCGTCTGCACAGCTTCAGCTCTAGGTTTCCTGAGTCACTCTCCTAGCTTGTTGCCTCTCTCCGGGCCTCTGGCCTCCACCCTGCTCTGTTCCTAGCATTCCTTCTTGCCCTGAAAGCCCCTGACCTTGCGGCCCCCTCCCATCCCCTGCACTGCTTCCTCACAGAAATTAGTGCCCCCATGGCTGTCCCCGAGCACCAAAGGCTGTCTTTCTAGCTCAGTGATGTGTCCCCAACACCTGGTCCACAAAGGAAGGAACCACTCTAGCCCACAGCACTCACCCACATCAGCATGCTTCAGGGCGCCCACGTCATTGGTGCCATCCCCACACATGAGGGTCACATAGCCCAGCTCCTTCAGGCTGGTGATGACGAACTCCTGTGTGGGCAAAGATGGGCTGAGCAGGGGCTGTGTGCCCACCTCTGTGCCCTCAACCCCCATGGCTATACACGTACCTTCTGCTTGGGGGCCACACGGGCAAACACCTGCACATGGGGGATGAGACAGAGTAGCTGCTGGGGGTCGGTGGCCTGCAGGTGGGCTAGACCGTCACCTGTGAGGCACAGAGCGTGCTCCAGGGCCAGCGCCTTCGGGGAGCCCCGGGCCAGGGGCAGCACGATGCTACCGTCAATGGAGCGCCACTCACACGGCTGGCCTGTGGGTAGCACCCAGGGTTAGGGCTGGGAGCTTGGCTGTCCAGGCTCAGTAGCATGCTCCCTCCACTGGGACCCCAGCACCGACCAGTCTCTCCCCTCTGGAGCCCCCACCTCCCTACTGGCCTCGGTGACCCCCAGCCCTGCTCTGGGCACTCCACAGAGA